TCAGTGAAAATGGTAAAAAATGTCAGAGTAGTTTTGTAGTTCTAAAGTTGCTTGGTGGTGAGGACATTTTAAGCTGGCCATGGGCAAAGATGGTACATAACAGAATCTTTGCTATGGGTGAGGGAGTTTGTATCTATCAGCCAGAGAGGGTGTGTCGGTCATGTGTCTCCGGGTATTTCCACAACTGTGCGCGCCTCCATCAACTCTGTCTGTGTCTGTCCGCCGTACACTGTTTGTGGCTTACTGTGGTTCATAGAACACAAGAGGTTAAGAATAATCTCTTTGAGTGTGAGTGGTTGGCGGGTGCTCTGGTGTGGTTTGCTTCTTCTTTCCTATGAAACATCTATCATCCTTATCTCCCTTTCTTCTTTTTTATGTTTGTTACTCTCTTGTAACACCTCTAATCTTCTGCGGTCATATGACCTTATGCAGTTGCGAGTGCCGTAAAACCTTTACTAAAACTAAACTAAGTCTCTTTGAGTACTATTTATAACCTTTTTGCAGATAATGGACAACTAAAAAAATAAAACCAAACCTCCCCTCTACCCCCCACCCCCCAAAAAAGCAAAAAAACCAACAACCCCAAACTAGTGAACGAAGGGGAAATGACAACTTGCAGAAATGTTCCTCGAGTCACACCCACAGTGACGACATGGTCTAAGAGTAAGACGCACATCTCTATACATGATCTATTGTCGAGGAGAAGAGTGGTCGTCTTTCCTGTGAAACATCTACGGTGTGGGTGGTTGGTGGGTGCTCTGGTGTAGTTTACTCCTTCTTTCCTGTCAAACATTTATCATCATCACCTCTCCTCCTAGATCTACTTTTCTTTGTATGTTATTTTCTGGAAACTCCTATAGAAGCAATAATCTACAGCACACTTATACTGTGACCTGTTTTGCAAGTGTAGTAAAACTTTTTAGAAAACTGAACTGAAAGTGGAGATCCTGGATGAACATAGTAGGCAAAGCGCGTTCTGAATATAGGCGTCAAGTTCATCGAATTTTTTGCCCATACCATCCCC